CCAAATATGGAGCAAGAGTGACAGCTGTAGTTCTTTGTGCGCAGGTCTTTGTTCTTATTTGTAGAATCTTTGGGAGGGTGTGAGCGTTCCTGAGAGCATGAGGCATTTTTGGAAAGTGAGTTCATGTTGGAGAATTATCTCCAACATGAACTCACTTTTTGGGGGTAAATGTCACACTTGAATTTTTGGCTTGTAGTCATCATGTCTGAATCTCGTAAATTAAAGACTTGACTTGAGATTTGCAACAATATAAACTAAACGCTACAGTTGCACCAGTTGATTTGTGGCCTGCCATTCTGAAGAAAAATGTTTAATTTGGCTCTGATGAATGTGGGAGATGTGAGCTTCAAGATAACTGTGATACACATTTTAACGTGTGGACTTAAAGCAGCAAAGTCATTGGATGTGACCATTTTTCCAAAAAGTGAAAAAAAAGTGAAAAGAAACTGGCAACTTGACTACTACTTGTTCCAGAAACAATATACCAACTCAAGGTCAAGGTGAAAATCAGGGTTGGGTGCAAAGCTGCAAAGATTTAAAACTTAGAGATAGAGACAATATTTCGCTAAGGAGCTCCCTGCAGTCACATTCAGTCAAATTTAGCCTCATGGTTCAGCCAGAGAGGGTGTTTTACCTCGTCCTCCTGTTAAATCTTGCAAACATTTTTTCCAGAATAATGCACACATGGGCGTGCATGTGTGTGTGTCCCGAGACAGGGTGGACTGAGGACAAAGTTGTGTGTGTGGGTGGGGGTATTAGACAAGGCCGCACATGGAGTCACAACACCCCCTCAGCAAACAACAGGGAGACCAAACTACCAGCCAAGTCCATACAAACTCACTCTCACCGCATGACAACACCATTGTGGCCAAGGGAGACTCTGTGTGTGCGTTTGTGTGTGTAGTCAGTGGGGTGGGGTGGTCATCTTGGTTTCCTCTAGAGAGTGAAACAAATGGATTTAAGGAGATTCACTTCCCCATTGAGACAGACAGATAATATTGACACAGTCTGTCACAATAAGAAGCAGACTGAGCCAAAATCTTCCAGTCGAGCAGGACAGAGAGACTACCGAATTGGATAAATGAAAAAATTCTAAATCAAAACTTTCAATGATAGCTGCTTGAATTTAGACCAGATTAATAAATAAGGTCACTTTACTCTGATTGGTCTTCCCTACAATGTCTTTTTATTCATTTTAGAATCAGACATTCAGTTTAACCAAATTTGATTTGATGATTACTTTTCTGATAATAGGGTAAATGAATAGCTACAGTATAAGTGATCATAAAAATTAAGCTGATTGCGAATATTTTGTGTGTTTTTAAGACCTGCAAACTTTGACATCGATGAAATGAATAAAACATGTGAGAAGCAGAACACTCTGTTTGTGTGAGATCATGTTGAGCTGAAGATAGTTCACGATTTGTTCCTCATTCATTCTCGGCTAAATTGAATAATAACTCATCTTCTCACAACAACACACCATCATCAGCGGGAAGCGCTGACCCAGGAAGCCGTGTCTGTGTCTGCATACATGCATGTAATCATCCGCGTGTTTGTCTGCTCAAACCTCTCCCGAAGGTGTGTGTGCATCTTCTCAAGACTGTGTTAAATGTAGGAGGATCAACCACACTGTTTACACTGGACGCCTTGGTGCGACCTCGGGAGGTGGAGGGGTCCCTGATTGGCTGCCAGCTACTGGCTCATTAAGCCGCTAGCACCGGGACGCATTGCCAGAAGACACACTCTCCATTTGTTTCACAACACATGAGTACAATCACACGCACTTGTCAGAAAGGACACTGCAGGTATGGCGGGCAGCCACGTGCACATGCCCACTCCCGCGTGTGCACACACACCGCGTTCATCCTCGGTGGCAGAGAGTGTTTCTGGCCCCGCTGACCTGAGTGAACTTTGGCTCACCCTCACAGGTTCATTACACCGCACAAACTCACACTTGGACACCTATTGGCTACCGATGAGAGAAGGACAACAGAAGAAACTAAATGGTATTTCTTGACATCTTAAACAGATCTAAGAAGGGAACTGGACAATGACGTTTTTTTAAAGAAAAGCACATTTAGAGGAACTATGAAAAAGAAACAGCCTAGATTTTCTTTTAAATTGATGACATGGTCTTTTTGACACTATCAAGTGGGTGTTAAAAGAGTCTAGTCAGCGAAACTGCTTAGAAACTTTTTGGAGTCCACAAAAGAACACCTCAAGATTGGGAGGGACCACCCAGTCACCGACTGTTTGGAATAACATGGGGCCTATTTTCATTCCTGTCACTAATAACATCATTGTACTTGGCCAGTTAAGTTACTGAGAATGGGAACGTGGAAGCAGGCTTGTCTTGTGTAAAGAAATTCTCATTTAGTGACTGAGAGTGTTGCTCTGTTGAACACATTCCAATTAGTCCATCCCAAACAGAACTGTCAGTTCTGTAGTAAAAGAACATGCTATTTATAGATGAATGGAAATGCATCCATGTTGAGTTATGTCACCAGTCGTGCATGTTAGGTGCATGCAGCTTATTTTAATACTCTTGCATGAGTGTAATTTCATTTTTGCCTTTCACACTATGTTTTTGTTGATCATAAAGTGATACTTCAACGCTTTTTTCCATGTCAGGAGTTGTCCTTCTGAAAGACGGTTAGAAGACTTCAGGTTATCCCACACATACGTTTTCTGACCTCATTCCAACTACTCTTATAGAATATTTGTAATAATCAGTTGCATAAAAGGTATCGGTTTGCTCTACATTTCACACACAGAAGAACACCTCAAAAGGGTGTAGTTTATTGTTTAGAAATTTTTGTCATTGCATTTGGTTTTTTCACAAGCAAAATTAAGAATTTCTAGGAATAAGAACAACTTACTGATATAAAGACATAGCTATCTTATTAAAAAAGACTGAAACATGGACAGCTTAAGGGCATGCATTTCCCTGATAAGTCTGCCATATCCAGGAAGTGTTAAAGTGTTTGTTTATAACAGGAACTCTGGAAGGTTTGAGCTGAGTCCTCATTCTTAAAGAACAGAATCTGCTGACGGAATTAGCTTTGCAGGGGAAACCCCATTACCCCAACAGAATGACATTTAAACATCTTCTCCTTCCCATATGTGTTTCTGGTAAGTCTCTGTCGCACTGTCTTCTTTGATATCTTAATGAAGATTCTTGCCTGACTCTTTGGGACTCCTGATTATGGCTTTTTCCTGTCCACATTTGTTTCTCTTCTCAACCCATTTTTCTGTCACGATTTTGCTCTCTCCGCCCGTAACTGGGCTCTAACTCTCCCCCTTCCCCCTCTCCCCACTCTGTCGTTCATCTTCTGGCCATTCCTGGGCTGACACCCTTGCTCCCTCTTCTCTCTTTCACCATATGATACTCCTCTGTTGACAGGTCAGTCCACATGTTGCTATAGCAACCAGCCATTTCTGCTGACCCCTGCTTTGACTTGCATGACAGTACAACAGGACTTAAACGATGAGCAGAGGACTTTTAAATGCAAGCACACACAGTGAATATGCACATTTTCTTACGTTATGGATGTACATGCACATAAAATCAAACACAAACGGAACACAAAAATATTCTTTTAATGTTTTTATTTTATATTAAAAATAACATTCATTACAGTAACAGTTGCACAACCAATAATTATAACCTGACACATCTGCACCAATAATTACACTTGAGAATCAGAGGACTTGTATCCTCTTTTTTTTAATAAGTTAAGAAATAGAGTTCGTATTTTCCCCTGGAAATGATACTCTAAAAGCATTTATACAATTCAGTGTTGGCTATAACTGGCTCACAACCATCCTTTAAAGCCAGGTCTTGAAGACTTGGCTTGATGTGGATATTCATAGCATGTTATCAAAGCAGGCATTTAGCTGTTTTTCCATTCCATTTTGATCTGGCAGTAGTAAAGAATGAGCAGGTTATTGATAATTTCCAGTACAATTAGCTACAGTACACAGTTGAGCACTTCTATAAAGTCAGTGTTGAATGATCAGTGTACAGCTACTCCAGTGTTACATAATGTTAGATTCAGACGTTATAGAATAACAGTACAGTAATGTTGGCATTGAGGCCTAAGCGACTGTCTCATTTCCAGTTATTATTCCGGTATGGAAATCCAGTTCTCCCCGTATCTAGGTTCTAACTTGAACTCCACATTTGGCCTTGAACAATGACTTCGGAAGTCCAGGTCATTTGTTGGTTTCCATGTTAAACCGAGCCAATCAATGGCTACCACTGCTTTCTTTCAGCGCTGGAGGGGCCTCCATAAACTCTCAGTATTTGGATTTGTGGTCAACTAACAAGATCCAGTGTTTAGTGTGACAAGTATCCTCCAATCCAAGGGTTCATAAGATTGCACTTATTAAATCAATGGATGCCTGTTAGCATCTCCAGAGCCTGAAAGTTGACTTTCCGTGAAGGTGTCCAGTGAACAACCGGACTGCCTGCCGCCGTTTAGATCCATCCAAAGGGTCCCAACATATATCCATCGGGAATCACATCTTGCTCGTGTTTCTGCGCTCCTTTGGACTGGTGTTTCAGGCCACAGTCTTTGAGTCAGTCATCACTTCCTGTTAGAGAAAGAAGAGACATATCCGTTTGTCTTAATACTCATACTTGATTGGCTTGTATATCATGCAACCGTTGGAAAAGAGGAAACGATAGAGATGTCTGAAATGGTAGATCTATTTTTAGAATGAATTTCCACTTTGTCATTTGACAGATGCATTAATGAAAATGATGGAGAGATTGAATTTTCTTCCGGTGAATCCATAGTCACAAACCTCTCAACAGGTTCAGCGAACCAAAAATACTTTTTTAGTTTAGTTTACACCTTCATGTTAAATGACACTTTCCCAATTTCCTTCCTTAATGATGTCAGTCACTGGCTTAAATTACTGGGTCAGAATTATCACCTGTATTACCACCTCCCTTCATCCCTCCGGCTCTGTCCTTCCTCTCACCTTCAGCTCTACATGATCATAGCTCTCATGGCGGCTTTGCTAATGCGTCTGCGGTGTTTTCTCCTGCGGCGAGGTGAAGCAGGGCGGAACGGGGTTTGACGGGCCGACATCGACATGGGAGCAACAGTGGAAAACGCTGCAAGAGACCAGACATAACACACAGTCAAGTCACTCGTCTCTTCTTCTCAAACTGCAGCAATAGCCACAAATGTCTTTCAAACAAAGCCCAAATCTTTCCTAATTTTGCATTGAATAACGTTGACCTAAAAATGCATGTAAATTAGGTTTATACATCAGAGAGAAAAAGTCAGTTTTGTTGTTTTCTAGAAGAATTTTAGGTAAAAGTCCAAAGATACAGGAAAAAAGTATCACAGTAATTATTCAAGGAAGTTAGTTTAACTATATATAACTATAACTGTTTTCAGTACATAGCACAGACAAGACAAAATTATGAGTGGAATTTCTTTCACAGTATCCTAACGGGGTATCTGATTGCCTTGAGACCTGTGCAACAAAGACAAAGAGAATGCTACATGACTCACATGTAGCATTCTGATGGCTGAGGTCTCAGGGGATTGAAAAAGAATGGCAGGACACATGTGGTGATGTTGCTTAATCATGCATGTACAGTTAGCTGCTTCCTCCCTGGGAAACTCTCCCTGATTTTCTCATGCATTTTAAACTTAAATGACAATACATTCTTTAACACAGAGACAGCAAACACAGGGCCATGGAGAGTAGTTGAACAAGTTAAAATGACTTGTACACAAAATGATCATCAATGCCTGTTTTGGAGTATTCAGTGATACAAAACATAGGAACATCTTTATTTTGTGTTGAGTCATAGACAAGAGCCATGCAATATGGAAGCCTGTCTGTCTAATTAATATACCAATATTTGAATTGCATTTTAAGAAGGCAAGAAATTAATTGTAAAATTTTTTTAAACGTGCATCATTCTCAGCAGTTGGGAGAGCAGTTTTTGCAAAATTTGCAAAACCTGTTATCAGATTTCATATTCAGGCCTTTAATAAGGTTTTTTTTTATATTTGCCACTATATTATTCATTTCATTACACTTATTTCAAAATGCTCTGATTTTACAGGCTCTGTTGGTGATAACTGACATTTAAAGTAACTTCTGACAAGCGTATAGCAAGCTTGTGCTAGCCTGCTCCAACAATGAACAATACCTGTTTTAAATGTGGTCGGCTTTGGTCTTTGTGAAGGATGATGTGGATGAAGAAGAGACGGTTTGTCTTGTTTATCTTGCTGTACCATCTCCAGCAGCTTTTGTCTTCTCTCCTCTTCTGTTAAACGCCCATCCTCGCTGCTCGCTTTAAAGTATTTTTCCCGCTGATTTCCCAGCTGTCCTCCTGCCAATTCCCCACTATTGGCCGACCCACTCTCCTCCCTCTCGCCCCCATCTTTTTGCCTGGCTGCCTCAGTCTCTGTCTGTTTGGTATTATATGTGACCTTAACATTTCTTTGGCGTGTCACTGAGTCTTTTTGAACGGTGGCCATCTGAGGTGTGGGGGTTCGGTCTAAACTGGACGGCTGGGTTGGGCTGACAGGTGGAGAAGCGCTGTCAGACTGCGGAGCGTTGAGCCGGTACTGCGTCCTCAGCTCTTGATCCTCCGCCCCTTCGCTGTAGCGTGGCTGATTATAATACTGATGCTGCTGTCTCTGCTGGTGCTGCGGAAGCTGTGGCTGACTTGGTGCGTGATCAGAATGGCGCACCTCCCCGTTTGACACATGCGCACTACTCTCCTCCCGGTTCACCTCATAGCCGCTCCCAGGCCCCGACTGGGGCTTGCTTCCCATGACGCTGTGCTCTGCTCTGGCTTCGGACGGCCAGCTGCTCACCGATCCCAGCAACCCGGTCGTAGCTTTGTGCGCTCCCGCCTGCGCGTGCGTGGGGGCCTGATGCACCCTGGGCTGCGTCCAGTGCACCAGCTGGGTATAACTGCCCGGCTGCCACGGCCTGGCCACGGGCTCGCGCTCCTCGGGGTGGTAAAGCTGCTGGTTGTGCTTAAGGTCATCGTGGCGATGGAGATCGGCCTTGGAGGTGTGGGTCTTCGTCGAGGCAGGGTGAGCAGGCCGGGGAAGGGGCGCGTGAAGGTGGGGGGATGCGGGGGGTTGTTGTTGCGGAGGCGGAAGTGGATTGGAGTAGCTCTGACTGGCAGATCGAGGTATAGAGACGGTGGAGGAGGAGGACGATGATGAAGAGGGCACAGAGGGGTGTTGGCACTTGCAGCTGACGTGATCTTCCACAGAGATGATGGCTTTTTCATAGTGGGCTTTCCGGTTAATGTACTGAATCTTTATTACCTGGAATAAAGGCAAAAATACCCAAAACAAAATTAATATTGCTCATCAGGTTTCAGTTATCATAAATAACAGGGAAACAGTTAGCTTAGGCCTATCGATTGATAACAAATCAACCACCCTTCACCTCTGAAAGAACTGCTTAAACAATAAATATCATTACTGCCACCAAAGAGGAGTAAATATTTAAATTGCTTTTGCAACCTCTCCTAAGAAATTGTCCTGGCCATGATCCTCTGCGGAGACACAAACTGATGTTTTACACTCATTTTTGTACGAATGACACAGCAAGTTCTTTCAAGAGGTTTATTGGCGCTGGTAAACATTAGGATCAAGCTAACTGGCTTACTTAATTTCCCACTGAAATTGGAATTTCAATAAATCTGTACAAAGTGCATACCTGTAGATATCTGCTGGAGATAACTATGGGGACACACTGCAGCAGCCGGGTGTTGCAGCAACCTGAACATCGCTGGACCTCCACACACGGTGGCCACAGCAGGAAGTTGGCATTGCGGCGGTCCAGCATGGACCTGGTGACTTCCATTACCTCCGTTCGAACCTTACAGGCTGCCTGCTGGGCTGGCTGGGCCTCCACTGTTAGGGTAACAGAAGCAGAAAGAAGAAAGGCATCAGAGTTAAAACAGAAAGATGCACTACAGATAGATGAAGAAAGCAATGTTTACAGAGTGTACAGAATATATGCTGTACGTGTTCAGAAAAGAGCTCACATTAGTCCATTTGTAGCATCCCAGCATTGGCTTCTAGTTCATTTTAGAAGTCATTTCAAAATATTGGTCCTCACTTTTGAGCCCCTGCTCTAAAGCCACTGCATATATCTCTGATCTGTTTCACCATCCACCTGCCTGCAGTCTGAGGTCAGCAGGTCAGAGATTGTTGGCTGTTCCTCAAACACCCTTCCACACTTGATGTTATCGTTCCTTTCAGGCAGTGGCCCCCAGACTTTGGAACGCCCTACCTCCTTCTCTATGGTGCTCTGAATATGTGAACTCTTTTAAGAAGCAGCTGAGAACTGTTTTAGCAAGACAAATAGAGGTGGAAACTTACCAAGACTTCTAATATATCGACCGCGGGTGGATTTCGGGAGAAGGTCATGCTCGTCTTCTTCATGTTCTACATGGTAAAGAATGAGAGATTTTAGAAAATGCTTCACAATCTTTTCAGGAATCTGGGCAACACTGTTTAAATAAGGAGGAGAAATCTATAAAACATTGGAGGCCGTTAGGGCAGCTTTAAGCCATGCTCATTGTTCAGTGCACAAAGGAAGCCATTTTTTTACCCTTCTGAAACAATTAGGCTATTTTCTGCAACAATTTGTCTCGCCACTGTCAAGAATACAGTTGAAGAGTGATATGAGTGTTAAATATAGCCTGTGCATGGATCTATGTGTGTGCCTTTGCACTCTACATATGCTGTCATTTCGTGCTGTAGCCTTTTGGTCCTAATTATATCCCCAGTGTAGACAGGAGGCGTTACTTGGTTGCCTTTTGGCTGTAATTAGCCGCGTGGTGCAGAAGGAGCACTGCTTCATATATTGTTCTCAAAGATTTTTTTCAATATGATCTGTATCTAAATATGTTTTGGGCTGATTCATTACTTGGTCGTTCATGTGTTAACATTTGACCAATCTTATTCCTTCAAAGCCAGCAAATATAGTCCGAATAGCTGCTTCTGAGAATAACAGCATACAGGAAATCTTTCTCAGTGTAGGGTCCAAAACTAACAAACATATTACCATCTAAAATGTCAGTAAGTATGTGATGATTGAGAACACGATGAAAGAAACTTTTATTTGTGCCAAGGGGCTGAAAAAAGCTTACTGTATGGCAAAATAGAGAATAACAAAATCTAAAAAAGACTCTATGAACAGGATAGAAGTTATCTCACTTATTGGATGCACTGGCTAATATGCTCCCAGCAGACTTTGTAAAATACCAGGATATCTCATAAGATCTCATAAGAGTAACTTCTATAACCCACATAAGATAGCACTAGTGTTTTTCAGCATGCTACTTTCTTCTAACACATAGCAACCTATGACTAAGGCTAATTTCTATCGCTCCATAAACAGTCAGTGATTACTAAATTATCTGAGATTTGTATTTTTAAATCCTTCCTAAAGACCCAAGCTTCACAGAGCAGAGTCAGTGGATCACTAAACAATGATGCATCAAATAATTAACTGAAATACTTCCACATCTCACAACACTTGCGAAAAGTGTGAAAACTCCAAAACTAAAAAAGGAACGAAAAAAGTTGATTCTGGATCAAATTTTGAGTCACTTCCCTCACCTACTGCATCTAAACATACTTCCTTTGGCTTGTTCCTCTCTGTGGTCTCTGTTATGTCACTGTGCTATTTGTGCATTATGGGACAATCAAGGGTCTGTCCAATGACATATGAATTATGATATCATATGCTATATTATTTGTAATATAACTGTTTTTATATAAACCTAAACTTGGGGGTTGGCCTTTTTGGCACATGAGCACACACGTCCATAATTCAAACCTGTTGTGGAGTCAGAGCAGGAGAACAATACAGTGACCCTGTGTTGGTGGTTTCCCTCTCTCCCCCTCCCCTCTCCATGTCGGTATTGTATGTTCAACATACAAGGCCACCGCTCCTCTCCTCCCCACCTCAACAGGCTACATCTCTGCCGCTGCCCTCTCCTGTAACTGTAGCCTGTATGCGATGCTCAGAATGCACACCGGTTCTCTCTCATTCCGCATTCTTTTACATTCAAGACTTTGCTTGCACACTCAAACCCTTTCCTCCCCCGTGTCTATGTTGTTATTGTCTGTGCATGTGCGTGTGTTCATGCGTTCGTTGGTGATTGATACCTATTGCGCTGGTCTCCTGCTGCAGCAGCTGTTTTAGGTCTTCCACAGAGGAGATAGGAGAATTCCTCACCAGATCAACCAGTGATGAAGGTAGAGGATCACCCTGTGGAGACAGAGACAGACAGCTATAATATGCAACCCGCTTTTTAGTTTTTTGTTTTTAGGTCAGCCACTAAATCTTTGAGTAGGATGCAAGTGAATTCAATCTTTAGCAGTGTCCTAGATCCGGGACTGGGTTTGCCAAAATCCGCACCTTTTGGCTAAACATACAATAATCATCCTCATCATCACCTTATTGACAACAGTTGTGCAACCTGACTCTGCTCTACACACTTCATCCACCCAAATATTCTTAAACCTTATTACATGATACATGTGTTCTTGAACAAGGTTTAAATGTCCATTTGGGGAAGGAAAGGAAGGTTCATTCTGTATAGGCTCCAGAGAGCCTGAACTGTGACACAGTTATTTTGAAGGGAGGGGACTCTTTGGAGGCAAATGTATGTATTAATGGAAAAAGAAAGCAAAACATTTTGTACAGCAGCACATGTGGGCTCTCCGTGTTGGTTTATTAGCGGTCATGTTAAATTGTATGATAAAATTATTTAGGGAATTTTGAGAAATTAAGTATTTTCCTATTTCGAGCTAATCCATTTTTTACTTTTATAAAAGCTAGAGATGAAAGAGAGACATGAGGACAAAGAGCGAGACATTCAAAGGAAAAGAACGGGGCTGGTGTATAATATCTCAGTCCTTGATCTCCACTCAAAACTTGCTCCAGTTTCACTTCCTCCATCGAAGGAAATTATGGCGCGATTGGTGTTTGCTGCTGCTTTTGTCACTCTCTTCTTGTCTGTTAACCCGCAAATACCACTGTTGCTTCATTTAGATGCAGGGAAATTAGCCCCTCTTCACTCCCTCACTCTGGAAAATATTCTTTATCTTACCATTTCATCTATTTCCATTTTGATTTACAAACATTACATAATAGTTAGATGCAGACATGTGGAATTTACATAGCATCAAGGTATTTTATGCCGAACTCTGGAAAATATTTTTGCCATTTAATGAGTTTTTAATGAGTTTTGCATGAATTCATCATGGATATTCAGCATTCCCTCTTTTAAGGGGAAGACTCATGTGGATTCTCTTTCAAGATCAAAGGCAGACTGTAAACTCTGTGATGGATTTTGCTTCAGTTGGTTGTTACTTTATACTATCTCAGGGCATGCAGCGCAACATTTGATACAGTCACATACCAGGAAGATGCCAAAATAAATTAAAGCGTGTTAAGAATATGAGGACAACTGTCAGAGAAGGGACCAATGAAAAACCAGTCAGAGAACTTGTGCCTCTACTGATCGCCGCGTGAACTTTGGTTGTAAATGACACAAAGTTGTGGATGCTGCCATTTTTTTAATCAAGTTTGGAAAAACACCTTGTCGATTAGGCTTGCCACTTTGAAGCATTTGACTCCACACCAGAACAAACAGGGGCAACAACAGTGAGCACATTTTCAAAATGAGAAACTTCTTCAGATACTGTGAGTGATTCCTCTTTGCTTCTTTGTTTTTGGTAAAAAAGAAAGCCTCATGAACAATAAAAAAAACAATAAGACAGCTACCCATTAAACATTCACATCAGATTTTTGCTGAACTCAGCCCTGATGTGATAGAGGACAGAGTAGTTAGTGTTTATCACTGTTACACAGTAGTGTGATACAGTACTGACAATACAGTGTGATAAACATTTACACTTGTGTTTCCATCTAGCAGCTTCAAAAGTATACTTTCGAAATGCTGCTTTGTAAAGAACATGCTATTTTCATGTTTCCTTTACCAGATTTGGAAACTAATTGCAGAGTGTGTTGAGATGGAGATCTGTAGGCTCCATTGGCTATTGCTATAATGAGCAGAGAAGAATTTGTTGATCACTTAATCAGAGAATATTGTTTTGGAATATGCCAAATGACTCATGTCATTATTATTAGGTAGCCATAATGGCCACTATTGAGCAGCTACAGCTCCAAGTACATCTTTCAATTTGCTATGAATCCTCTTCCTTGTCCGACTTTGTGTGGTATCAAAATCGTTTCATGTCCTTCTCTTCTCAGCAAGCCTTCTACTCTCTCTTCTCTGTCTGCTTTGTGGGCGGCGATGGCTCAGGACACCTGGATGACTTTCACAAGGCACTGGCTGACCTAGTTAAGCAAACACACGCTCACACACACACATACACACTCGCCCACAATTTTCCCGTTTACAGATTCTCAACCACTGTCCGCCCAATTTGTCAAGACAGCCTCTTACACACTCACACTCACACAGTTTTAAACCCTGCAGAAAGCTGTCATTAGAGTCCAAGTGCTTATTGCAAACACAAACACAAGCACCAACACACACGCACATACATAACAAATTAGAGAGTGGAACATACACACAGGAAATAGTTTCTCACATGGACAAACAACAACTCACTGGTTTAAAAAAGAACAAGAATTAGACAAATAACAGTGGTTTGATAGGAACACCCTCGTCCCTTTTTCTCCTGCCCTGCAGAAAAACATGTAAACGGACTTGCCTTCGGTGAAAAATGTCTAAAAATAAATACCCTTTTGCCAGGATTAACAAATGAGAATCTGTAATTTTTTATTTCTTACGCTGCAAAAGGGTCAAGTTCAGCTTTTGGTTCAAAAAGACCGCCTGGTAAGATGTTAGGATTTACAAGCAGGTCATATATATGCCCACAAACACACACACACACACTCCACGAGGCCTTGGAGAAAGCCTGGAGGGCAACACGGTTGTATGGAATGTTTGAGGAGAAAGGTGAAGTGTAATGGAATGTAATTATGTGGCCTGCCGACTGTTCACACACATGCAATCAAACAGAGGCACAAACTCTGTAATAAGGAGCAAATGCACACAAAAACATCAAATTTACACGTGTGATGAGTGACTCACCATCATAGCGAGCTGTCACATCACATGCCTTCTTTTATCAAAATTATGGCAGAAGGCCAACTTTCTGCTATGTAAACTAGACAGACCTGCTCAGCTCGGTGGGTATCTGTCACTCACACAAAATTATCCACAGCAGCCCGTATGCATGCAGCATCCCGCCCTCTTACTACAGAGACGAGGGCAAAGATGATGGATTGAAAGATATCAGAGAAGAGCAGCAAACAGTGGGGCAGAGGACAAAAGAGAAACAAAGTTAGGGGTTGAGGAAAAATAATGAGAAGGAAGGACATCGACAGCATGGATCTGATCTGTACAATCAGGACCTTTTTTTCTGAAGTTACAAAGACATAAAATCAATGTGTAAACAAAGAGGCATAAATCATAAATACAGGACTCATCTTTAAAAACATTCTGACTATATCAGTGTGCACATAAACCACAAATGTAAAGCAGGAATGAACTGTCCATACGCCTGTGAGCTGGAAAGTGAGCAAACATTTATATAAGAGATTAAAGCACTTAAATGCTGCGCTTGGAGAAACGTGCAGATAAACAACATAGCTCAGGATTCCTGTGACTAAAATCAGACCAAGATGTTAACAGATACCAGTGATAAGCAAAGCCAATCCACAAAGGACTCCCAGTCCACACTTCCCCACGCTGTATCGACAATGTTTGAATACTAGACACCTTCACATGTTCTGCGTCCACATTCAGATTCACTCAGAAACACAGTATCTTTATTAGAAAAATATGCTCTGACTCTTACCATATTAAAAATCTGTATGACAAAACTTTAACTAGGTAATTCTGCCAACCCACAACTCCATTATCAGTCAAATAATTTTTCATCACTTCCACTGAAACTGTGTTACACAAGTCTCACAAACAAATGCTTCTATGGTGACTGAGAAATGCTTCTGAGGCTTGCAGGCATTACCCCGGATGTACACGCACAAATATCCATGCACATATGTCACGTATAATACATACGCAATCACACCAGGGCCATGCATCCATCCAGATGTAAGCGCATGAAAATACCCATGCAGCTGCAAGGCACACAAACTCCATGAAATCCCTGGCAGATTAATTGTTGTTCTTATGTAAAATGGATCAAGCCACCATGCAGCAGCCAGCTTCCCTGCAGAGAAAACAGTCACACAAAAACCTGTGCAAAAGCCACGAATCAGCAGTTGTGACTTAAACAGCAGATGATGAAAGAGCTGAGGTCTGACCTGATGTGTGTTTAACTCCAGCTCTGTTAAAGTGGATTTAGAAATGAACCGTAATGATTCTCAGAGTGCGTGCATCCATGCTTGTGCGTGTGTTCAACAGCATTTTGTATAAGCAGAACAGCTGAGAGATAATGCTCTCTGCCTTTTAAATGACGTGCAAGAATATCATACTTAATGAACCTTTTGTGGCCTGACACTGCCGAGAATGCGTGTTTGACTTATACACAGGTAGATATAACTTAATTGCTGTAACAATATTTTCCGTTTTGCCATAATGCGACTAATCATTATGACAAGATGATAGGTCTGATTAAAGTCCATTTACAATGTAAAACGATGTGATATGTGCATTGTGAGACGTTTTTTCTCAAGGAGAGAAGCCTAAAAACGAGTCGAACATGTAGAATGAGGCATAAAAGCAAGCCTTGTCCAAATCCCCAGTTTATTGTCCTGTCCGTCTCTGAGCACCACAAACCTCAAAATGCACGGATAGTTTTAACAAAGGTAGAGGTAAAAATCTATTGAGTAAGCTTTTAACTCGCTGGATGCAAAGCATGATGCGGATATTTTACCGGAAAGACAAACGCTACACCTTTCTATTTTTTTGTTGCTGAAACCTAACACACAGGATATTAATCATAGAGCTGTTTTTTTTAAAGCACCTTATTTAGTGTCCCTTCAGATGCTGTCTGACAGGTTGCCCACATAAACAACACGGGGGACTCAGCGGGAGCCGTGAGACAGTTGCGCACCATCCAGTGATATGGATCTCCAGTAGGAAGTAAAACCAACTGACTATGACCTTCACTCTCATATGTTACTGAGTTGAGGTAGACTTGCAGATTTTTGTCTAAGACTAGTGGAGAGGTGATTATTGAACATAAAAGTAACTGTGCTGACGGAATCCATTACAGAGAAAAAGCTATTTAGGAGATTTGTTGGCAAACTGGGAACCAATTGGTCCTCGGTGTGAAAATGATGGAAGGATTTTGGCAGCAGATTCATACAGTATAACTCCTGGTGGTAAGAGCCAGGGCCCTGCCTCAGGATCCCTCTGCCTCTAACTATGACAGAATGACTCCACCTTAGAACACTTCGGGAGAAATTCTGTCAGGGAACATGAAAATGAGCCACTGAAAGAGACAGATCACACTTGTGAAACAAGCTGCAGAGTCACGGGGGGCTGAGCGGGCTGTCAAATGTACACACATACAGTGATTTTTTTTTCTTCTCTTCTCTCTGTTTTACTCTTTAACAGCCTTAGAATGAATTCAGCTTACACTCGAAGCAATGTCAGAGAGGATAAAATGAGACCACCCATCTCAGAAATATATGAATGCAGACAAGAATAAACTCATTAGTATCTCCATCAGAAACATCCAGAGAAAATCTAAGTGGATGACCTTTTCTGTCTTTCTTCTGACTTAACTCTGACATGTTTTAATCTTTCAGAGATCTAGTGAAAGTAGCTACAATCATCAAAAAATATTTTGGGGCAATAACAAAAGTTTGCGAGCTTTTGGTGTGTTGAATGAAAACAACGATTAATTCTCTAATTCATTTCATTAATGATATATTTAACCTAAAATCAACGTGTGCCACGATGCATTTCATCCCATCTGTGGTGGTGTACCCTCACCGAGTAGAGGTCGTATGTTTGGAGACCCATCCCCTGAACTCACCTCAGCATTCCCCAGCCGTAGACAAGCAGTGAAGAGTGCAGCCAGCAGCAGCAGCAGGACCCAGGACCTCATGTTGCCGCCCAGCCTGATGAGCCGCAAGCGACCGGCTGGGCATTTAGCACCTCGGAGTCCAATCCCGCGGCTGCACCGAGCCTCGTCCCGGTGTCGTGTGCTGGCCGCTTGCGCAAAGTGCGCACCGTTAAATATCCCAAATGCGTCTGTGCCAGTGAGTGCAGCTTGTCCGAATGTTTGTTCACTGTGACTCACACGCAGGTTAGACGTCTGACTCTGTGCATACCGCTGTTCTGAGAACTCATTTAAGGAGATACCCGGAGAAGCCGTCAATGGGACGGGACCAGTGCGTAATGCACGCTGTTTTAAACACGTTGGACAGTTCCACGATACAGAGAAGCTATTATATCGGACCGTAGTTCAAAATAGGCTCCTTTAAGACGCCAGTTTGACTATGTGATATGAAGTATTCGTCAACCTGTGACAATAGTGTTTGATATGTCCTGTTGCCCAGATGAAACTCCAGTAAAAAAAATCCGATTATAAGCCCTAGTTACAAAAATGCGTTTGAGTGTGCCATTAATGCAGCATACTGGTCACAACTTGCACCTCACATCTCCGAAGGTCCGTGCGTAAAAGTTGGTTCACCTTGATCGCTTCATGCGTAATTCTCTATCTGAACATGTCAGATGATTCTCAATCCAGCGCAATTCCTCAAACTGAGAGCAGTCAAAAGCTCAGATCTAACCGTCCTTCTCTTTAGAGCACTCCATGTAAATCCCACTCTTGTATTTGCCTCTCCGTTCCCGGTGTGTCTTGTTCATTTGTCAGATCGGTCTCGCCTCGCGCGCTGTCCACTCTGATTGCGTTTCGAGCAGTGAGCGGCTTTACTCAGCCGGAGCTGGGCCTACCCTCTGAAGTTTTAGACGTCAAGTTGGAGGTAGATAGATAGAATAATTTCCTGCCAGCAATTCTTTCAAAATAAAGAATGCGTGTGTTGTATGTGTGTGTGTGTATATACAGTATTTATATATATATGGATGAAGGTCTCTGTCATAGAAGAATCTTTAGCACCTTAAAATGGAAAACTGTCAGTTAAAAGGAAGTTGAATATGATTGAGTCAATTAATCATGTTTCCTTTGTTGTAAGTAGAAATTATTGGAAAGACTTGGAAATAATTCCTAACTAAACAGTTTCTTTAGATTTGATAATCAATCAGTACAACACCTTTGGATTGAAAAAACTTTAAACCTTTGTTAATAATGTCACCAGAAGCTTCCAGATGTTTCATTATTACTGTTAAACACGTGATGGCGTTTCACAGCAAAATCCAATTCAGACAAGACTATATTTTGAAAGTACTGAGTAGGATGTGGGAATTTTACAAACGGGGAATTTGAGGCTGTCCTGGCATCTGCATCATTGCCCCACGGTGCTCTCTTGAAAGCAGGTCTTGCAACCTCCCAATTGGTTAAAAGAAATGTGACACCCTTAAAAAGAAAGTTTTGTGCCAGTAGACTAATTATCAATCTGTATAAACATGAGTCTAACATAGAGATCTTGTCTGTTTGTCTATTATTAATTAGACTATTGCAAAATGTGTAATAACTCATGTCCCCCTGTGCCTTTGAAGATATTCCGTTTTCTGTTTAGCTGTGTCTTTACACTTAAGCACATTATATCTGTTTTAAATGGCACTTTTTGGGTGGATCTGACAATGACAATAACAGGCTGATTCTTAACATATTTTTTCCTGTCTGAGTGGTCCCTTTGTCTTTCAGAGGATACTGGAGGCAAATGATGGCCTCCATGGTGATATGGCCGATAGCTCAACAGTTATTAGACCATCAAGATGAATTTGTGAGGATCAAAAGCTTGGCTGCAACAGCTCAAAGATAGCACATAGTTGCTTTCCTTTGTCAGATCCTCGACCCACATGTTAGTCTTTGAAACAGATACCATGTTTTTTTGTTTTTCTTTATCTCATTGGCTTCCCTGTAAAGCCTTGTCGAGGTCTGTAGCCAGTTGTTATGAACATGTTTATTTTGAAACAGAAGACAAATCTGCTCTCGTTTCCGGGGTAGACAGCAAGTGTTTTCCAGGAAGCTTGATTTTTTTCATTTTAGGGTCATGGCTGGAGCGGTCGTCATGGAAGCTGGGGTCACGGTGGATTCTTCCTTTCTGCAGGGGGAAGATGGAGGAAGCATCCCTGCGTTGCTATTCTTGGACTACATACACACAAACACACAAATATTCACCGGTGTAGAAACTGACCTCTGACCCTCATTCCGTGTACAGAGTGAGGAGCGGGCCGAGGGGACACTGTGCTGCCACTGACAGGATGAAGTATGACGCCCCTAAACTCAGTAATGTCTGCAGTGTACTAATATGAGTGGACGACAACTTGAAAGCATATCAGGTTAACATTGCTGCTAGGTGTCAGCCCTCAACATCCCTGTCATGTCAGAGAGGAAGGAGATGTTCAGCGTGTGTTCATTTCAGCGGGACCAAAAAATGTCCGAAATATTTGCGGCCCCCACAGCTGTCAGTGAACCCAGAGTCACAGGTTTGAGATCCTCTGTTATTTCTGTCACCACAAAGCCAGAATTAGCACAATGTCACCATCGTACACTAATTTACACATTATGCCCTAAAAGTGATCGGTTGAATCACTTTTGGGGTCAATATGTGGATGGACATCTCTGGGATCACTACTGCTGTGGTTTAAGTGATGGTGGCAGTTTTCTGTAGTACCACATTCACATATCAGAGTTTCCATTGGCGTCCAGATGTTACAGTTACAAATTGTTTCGATGTTAAGTATTGTCAGGTTGGGTTTTGAAGTATCCATAGGTCTCAGATTCTCTTTTGGTCCGCTTGCACTTTTCATCAGCATGTGCTGGTTCCCCCAAAATCTGACATGGACTTTGTTAATCCTGACCACATCCGAGCATGGTTTAATTTATGTGTTTCTCACTGATGTATTGAGGTAAGATTAGGGTAGCATTTTGGGCTTAGCTTTGGGGCCCTTTGTGGACAGATCCCTTTGTCGGGTTTCAAACCTCGACCTATTCCAAAGTATCATGTCATGTGTGAATTTTCTAAACATAAAAAAAGGGGATTTGATCTGGTCAGTTCCTTCACAGTTGTTTAAAGTAAACAAGAGAAAAATCCCACTGGAAACAAGAACTGTGGTGCAAGTCATCAACTTGTGTGTATGAGTAATAACTGCAAAGAACTTCCTTGGCAGTTCTCGATTTAGATTATGGAGGCTCACATTCTTTTTTCGGAATCCATGTCTTATTTTAAATCAAATACAAATGATCAACTGCTAAAAAATAATGTCATCTGGTTTTGTTACAGCCCCATGAATCACTCCACAGTTTCTCTCCCAAAGAAAGCATCGAGCGACTGAAAGAAAAAGAAGGGATCACTGAGTGGAGGAAAGGTGGTGGTGATGGTGGTGGGGGGGGGGTGCTGGGAGGAGAGGAAAGGAGATGGAGGGAGGGAGGGAGGGCAGAGCCACAGCTGTATTGTTGTGTGTTTTCCAAACATCAACAGCAGGGGAAGTAAAACGGAGCAGCTAAATATACAAAAGGCAACATAACGCAGTGAGTGTGGAGCAGCTGTGGAACATGGCTGTCACCAGCCACAGCAGCGTGAAACACCGAGAACTGCCTTCTATTTATAGAGGAGGAGTAACAAACTGTTTTTCAGATGCACGACCTACAATGCAGAGGAGAGACAGACAGACGGGACAGAGTTTTGATTTGCTACCTTCGCTGTCAACCAACAAGTCATTTTCAACTCGAAATACTGCCAAAGTCAGAAGTTCTACAATGCGTCCTACTAATCAGGTCTCATGGTCAACGTTTACATCAGATCATTTGGAGGACGCTCAGCAGTAACATGTGATTATGTTCCATCTCAGACTGCCTTTTAATTATTTTAATGGTGGGAGGATCCCAGGTGGGGGACGGGTGTCAGGTGCAGTTGTGTGGCGGTGGTAAATGGCTCGCATGGCTCAGGGGTCGGGTAGGAGGGCACGGAGCAGAATTTTGCCTTTGGCTCCTGGGAGGTCAGGGCCACTGCTGTTGTGCTAGAAATGTTTTGCATTCATAACATAAATTTTGAAGGAGTCAAAGTACCGGCCACAAAGTCAACACATTCCTGCATCAAGGAAAAAAAAAAGATGTGCACCTAAAATTAAAGTTGACTTTTAAAAAAAAGCATTAAAATCCTCTAAGTTAACATCTAAAAGTAAAGTGAGTTCCAACTGTGGATTTGCATGGAGTTTAGAAGTTGAGAATGCAACAAGCTGGTATTCCATGATGAAGGAAAGACTATTTTTTCTGAGCAAATATTAGGCGTGCCAACTCATAAAGTTGAAGCATTTTAAACCCACTCAATATTTCTAAATGATTTCTACACCTCACTCCTATGTCGAAGTAGAAATGTCCAGCCTCCCCATTTTTTTCTCAACCCAACTTTACGTTCATTGTGAACTGAACTGTCATGGTGGCATCAGGAAGGGTGCTTGAAAATGGTTGCAGTTGGGACTCCTGACTTAATGAGCAGAAAGCTTCAAGTGGCTGCTGAGTGGTACAGAAATGCAGCAGCCAGAACCATGTTCAGAACAGGAGACCAGGTACAAACTTTTAAACAAGAAAAATGGTTAGTTTAGTTTAGTAAGTTTAATGTTTAGAAAGCCTTAAATCGCAGTCACTTTAGGTGTCTGTTCATGTACACTAACAAAGATAATGTGAGGGTGCAGTTGCCTGTTTGTATGTCAATAATAGAAATGCTGGAAAAAAAACAGGAAGATGTGCAGCTGACACTTTTCCTCCATCACCATGGCAACTTTGGATGCAGCCGTTATGACTTTGTATGGAGCTCATGATGGATGACCTGATTAGTGATGAACACATGACAGCATGACTGAAACGCATCATCTTTACCACTGCTGACTTATAAGAGACATTTTGAGGACAACATCCATATCAAATCTCTACAAGCATGAAAGCATTTGGGGTCTTTTGGGAAATTAACAAATATTCCTAACTCATTACTATATTTGTTGATTTAGTCCAGTTGTTAGGACTATTGTCTGTTATCAGGATGAGTTAAGTAATTGACAACTTCAATGCTACAACACTTCGTTCAGTTCCTGCTGTTGGTGTTGAGCGGTGGCTTTAGCTCAGTGTTACAACATTTGAGGATTTGCCTAAATCCATTATGGTAAGATACATTACGTCAGTGAGTTAAATTATAAATGTTGTTCATATGGAGTTGGGTCATGTCTCAAGGTGGGGGTATAGCTCAGTGGTAGAGCGTTTGACTGCAGATCAACGAGTCCCCAGTTCAACTCTGGGTGCCCTCTGAGGAATATATATATATAGTATTTTGGTGATGTATATATTCAGTTGTTTATTGCTTTAAATGCTCTCACTCAGGGATACATTTCAGCTCCAAATAAATTGCTGCAAGACAGACAGGAATCCCATTTTTTTTTTTGTCAAGTAATGTGTAAAAGCTAAATTTGCTGTCAGAGAATGAAATAGACAAACAATTTTGAGTACATATGAACCTCTCAGGTCTTCAATCTGGTCCTTAAGGTTGAAAAAGTCATCAGAAAACAGCAGTTGTAACACGGCACGTCTTACAAGCAGGACAAGACACCAATATATGCTATGAGGTCAAGACTCAGAGTCAGATCAGCTTGTTAGAGAGAGGTTATGACTTTTGACCACCCTCGGTGTCTCATAACATCTGACATGAAAGAGTGAAGGAGGAAAAAGACGTCCATTAGAAAGCCAGTAGCTCCCACAGCGATAATGTAAATACATTCGGTTACAGGATCAACGCTGATACAGGAACAACTTAACCAATAGCCATTTCACAAC